ATGGCTAAAATTAAAAAGCCTGACAACACCAAATGCTAACAAAGTTGTGGAATAGCTGAAACTCTCATATATTATTGGTAGCTGTGTGAAATACTATAACCACTTTGGAAAATCGACAGTTTCTAATAAAATTAAACTTACAACTACAGTATGAACTAGCAATTGTACTACTATGTATTTACCTAAAAGAAATGAAAACATGGCTATAAAAAGATTTGTACAAATGTATTTATGGCACTGTCATCCGTAACAGCCCCAAACTGGAGAAAACTCAAATGAACAGACAGCTGCATATTTATACAACAGAATGCTACTCAGAAATAAAAAGGAATATATGCTGATGCATGCAATACTATGGGTGAAAAAATGGATTCCAGGTAAATCATATGTCCAAACGTAAGATAAAACAATAAAGCTTCTAGAAAATAACACAAACATGTCCATAGGGATAGGACACATAAAGCTGTAACTCCTAAAGGAAAAGATGGATAAATTCCATTACATTAAACCTTGGAAATTCTGTTCGTCCAAAGACAACATTAAGGAAGTGAAAAAGTAAACCATACTGTAAAAGAAGACATTTATAATGCATGCAGTGAACAAAGTAACTGTATGCAGATACATACAGAACTCCTACAAACTAATATGAAAAAGACAAGCTAAGAGTAACAGGAAAAAAGTCTTGAATAAGTCACTTCACAGAAAAGTCTATTCAAAGAACCAAGAAGTATATACAAATATATTCAACATAATTAGTCATTTAAAAAAGCTAATTAAAACCACAATATTTTGGGGCACCTGGGTGGCTTAGTCAGTTAAGTGTTTGCCTTCGGCTCAAGTTATGATCCTCCCTGCTCAGTGGGGAGTCTGCTTCTCTCTCTCTCTCTGCCCGCCCCCCGGCTCATGCTCTGTCACTTGCTCTCGTGCTCTCTCTCTCTCTCAAATAAATAAGTAAAATCTTTAAAAAACAAAAAAACACAGTATCTTGGTGCTTTATACCTAGCAGAATAGCTATAGTTACAAAACTGACCATACCTCATTTTGGCAAGGATGTAGAGTAACTGAGATTCTCACACACTGTTAATGTGGGTGTAAGTTGGTGCAACCACCATGGAAACCTTTTTGGCACTTTCTACTAACACTAAACATATGTATATACTATAACCTGTTTAACTCCAGGTAGGTATATCCGACAGACATGTGCACCAAAAAACATATGTAAGAATATTCAAAGCAACATTATTCATAGTAGCTCCAAACTGGAAGCAAGAAAAATGTCCATAAATGGTAGAATAGAAAAATAGTGTTGTATTCACACATGGAATAACATATAGCAATGAAAATTAATGAATTCCTGCAACCAAAATATGGATGAATCTTATAAACATGATCCTGGAGAAAAACACTAGACCAAAAGAATATATAAGGTTTGATTCCATTTATGCCAAGTTCAAAAACATGCAAAATTAATCTATTGTATAAGTCAGGAAAATGGTGTGTATAATTTGTGATAATTTCAGCTGTATACTTATGATTAGTGTACTCCTCCATATGTATTATTTTGCTTGATCTAGGATTTTACCCGACTTATAAGCTATTAAGTTAGCCTGTTGTTTCTTCATGGGTCAGAGATAAAAAGCTTTATTATTCACAGCCCAAAATGCGGCTGTTGTGGATAAGCCCAGATGGAATGCCTGCACACAGAGTAAGGTACATTACTGAGTTTGAAAGCTTCCGTTTTACAACAGGCAGTGAGCAAGTCTGCTCTTTGTCTCAGAAAAAAACATTACCTCATTCCTCAAAGCTGCTCACTACAAACACATCTCTGAGAAATGGCTCAGGTAAAGATCAGTCAGGGACTTACATTCTTAGCATACCCACTAAGACAAATAGTAATGCAAGAGATCAATGAAGAGTATATCTCAACATACTTTACTAGACTTTTTTTGTACTATAAAAACAACAGGTAAATCATATGTCCAAACGTAAGATAAAACAATAAAGCTTCTATTGTTTTAGAGGAAGGCCATAAATATAATGCAACAAGATTTCAGCAAGCCATTTGACCCATCATTATAATCCTGTGGTTAAAATGGAAATGAAGTAGGCTGGACAGAATTATAGTTAAGTGGATTTGTAGGCTGAAGAATGATACCCATGGAATATTGATTTAAGGTTTGACGGAGATCTATGAGAAACTTATCAGAGGTACGAATGACTTGGAATTGCAGGCCTAATCCTTTTTTTTTTTTTAAATACTTATCAAGAATTTGGATAAAGACATAAAAGGTATGCTACATATAGTATAAAAATATTAAGTGAAATTGCTGCGATATCCTGAAAAAAACATTTAAGACAGTATCAAATGCTTTCAAATATGTGAAGAGCCTTCTTTATGTAGTAAGAAGTTGATTATTTTCTGTATAATTTCAGGTTTCAAGTAAGGTTTTGTTTTGAAGTGTGCTAGGATACCAAGTCTAAATTATTTCTTCAAAAACACTAAGAGAGGGGAACCTGGATGGCAAAGTCGGTTAAGCATCCGACTCTTGGTTTCAGCTCAGCTTCTGATCTCAGGGTCCCGAGATCAAGCCTGGCATTGGGCTCCCTGCTCAGCACAGAGTCTGCTCAAGTTTCTCTCCCCTGCCACCCACACTCGCCCCCACCACGTGCACGCTCTCTCTCAAACAAATAAATCTTAAAAAAACACACTAAGAGAAATCCTAATGTATGGGTTTATACTATCTTTCTAACTTCAAATATTTGCTTCAGGAGAATTTAACTCCTGCTTCTGCTTAGTACACAAAGCTATGTTATTTAGCATTTAGAATAAAAAAGTACAGGGGTGCTCAGGTGGCTCAGTAGGTTAAGCATCTGCCTTCAGCTGAGGTCAGGATCCTGGAGTCCTGGGATGGAGCCCCGCATGGGGCTCCCTGCCCAGCAGGGAATCTGCTTCTCCCTCTCCCTCTGGTCCTCCCCAGCTCGTGCTCACTCTCTCGCTCATTCTCTCTCTCAAATAAGTAAATAAATAAAATCCTTAAAAAAATTAAAAAGGACAAGGTGATGAATCTGATTTACTTCCACAAAGAGGAATAGTCAATGATAAAAAAAAAAAAGAGTTCCCATATTAGATAAAAAAAAAAAAGAGGTATTAGAATTTCCTAGTATGGATTGACTTTTCTAGCCAATTAAATTCTTAACTTGATCTATCTTAGGCAAATATAATAAGACTTGACATTCTAAGAAAGTACAGCAAATATAATTATTTGGCAATATCTTATTACAAGTAGTACTTAGCCCACAAACACTGGGATTTCAATGAGAATCAGGAAAAATATTCCCCTTCCCTAAGAAGTAAAACCCTTGGTAGAGGAGTTTAATATTAAAATCATCTTTCAAGGGGCACCTGGGTGACTTAGTCAATTGAGCAGCTGACTCTTGGTTTCGGCTCAGGTCATGACCTCAGGGCTGTGAGGTCAAGCCCTGTGTGGGGCTCTGCGCTCAGCCAGGAGTCAGCTTGAGATTCTCTCTCTCTCCTCCTCCCTCTGCCCTTCCCCACTGCTCACACATTTTCTCTCTCTCAAAATAAATAATTTTTTAAATTTAATAGCTTATGACTATGCATTGTCATAGGCATTGTCTCATTGAACCCTCTTAATAATACTATAAGTATTAGCAGACTTTCCTAAGAATATACTACAAAGGGGCAGTGCTGGGTCTCAAACCCATGTATTTTGTCTAGAGTTGAGAATTTTCTTGGCTACAGCAGCTTTCCAAGTATAGAGTAGTGACTGTGTCCTGAAAGAGCAAGCATTTGTTATATGTCAAGTGGGGCACATATGACAGTGAGGAACACTAAAATCTTCCACATGAGAGGGAGCCATGGGGGGTTCCTGGCAGCCTGCACAGTGTGTAGCCTCTCAAGTGACAGTTAAGCTTTTCTGCCAGCCACCTCACAGAAAGTCTCTTGTGATACATTAGGCAGAAGCAGAGAGTTCTATCTAGAAAGGATACAAGAAAGAATAATGTTCAAAGAATTTGAGAGTAGAAAAAAATAAGACTGATATATACAGTAGAAAAAATAAGACATATATATATCATGCTACAAATATATATGCATGCCTATGATATATATATATGCATTCTTATTTATATATATATATATACATATATATACTTAATTCAGTTTCATAGAATTCCAGGTAAATTGCTGAAGGTCTACTAAAAATGAAAATATATTTTCTATCTTCCAGTTGTTCTTAATCCAATAAGATAGAAATATCAGAAATAAACTATAAGTAACATAATGGTGGAATAATAGCTAAACAGATGCAAGAATACCTTGTAATGGTTCATAAACATGCAATGAAATCTAACATGTAGGACTGGACAAGGATTCAGAAGGTAGGTAAAGGCTTTGAAGGATGAAGCAGGATTTCAACAGAGGAAAACAAAGAAGGAGCACCTATACTTATTTTTAAAGGAAGAGAAGAAATTAAAAGGAAAAAAGAGCTCGAGATGTAAACATCCATAGAACCAAGATTCAAATTTCTGTTTGTATTTGTTTCTATTTTCATCTTGCTGAAATTCTTGGGCTAAATTGGCACTACCACTGAATACTAAAGTTTTCTCCTAAGTAACTGCTTAGAAGGAAAAGCTAAATCAGGTTCACTGTATTATTGAAAATATCTTTCTTCAAAATTCATTTAGGATATTAAATAAACATTAATGCCTTATTTGGAGTTTTTCTAGTAGAATATTAAGTCTGTGCTAGAAACAATTATGATCCTCTGGAAGCAGAAGGAAGTATGAGCATCAAGAGATATTTTTCCTAATTCAGATCATAAGGAAGAGGCTCCCAATTATGCTGAATGTTCTTGAATCTAAGTGGGAAAAAGATACATTAAAGTAATTTAGTCTTTTTTTTTTTTTTTTTTTTTAAAAGAGAAGGAGACAGAGAGAGAGAGAGAGAGAGAGAGATCATGAGAGGGGGAAGAAGCAGACTCCCCACCGAGCAGGGAGCCTGATGCGGGACTCGATCCCGGGACTCCAGGATCACAACCCGAGCCGCAGGCAGTCGCCTAACCAACTGAGCCACCCAGGCGTCCAGTAATTTAGTCTTAAATGTTTTTCTTAGGACAAGTATTTTCAGGAAAGAGATAAGAACCCTGCATGCAGTAAAATTCTAGTTATCTAAGGAAAAATAAAAGAGTTTCTATATGTTTTAAGATTAACTTTAATAGGGTTTCACTATATAAATTTGCAGAAGGCCTTTTCATCCCAATTTGGTCAGTAATTAGTTGTAGGAAGTTAGGTAAGGTGCTCAATTTCTCTGGATTTCATCCATTACATAGAGAGGTTGGTCTAGAATGACCCCTAAGGTCGAATGTAGACTCAGAAGGTCAGTCCAGCAGCAAGTGGGACTGTGGGGATTATTTGGTCACCATTTCCTGGTTCCCAATCTTAATAAGCTCTACTCTGGACACTCTGCATGCATTCATGTGTTAACTGTAGGAGTCCTCCCCTCTTACTACCCAATACCATCTCTCTCCGTGAGGACTGTAGCACTGTTACCTGTGTGTATGACCCATTGGTAAAGCTGGAGCTCTTCTGCAGTTCTCCCCGTTCTCAAGTCTCCCCTCCCCAATAACCAGTATTATCATTTCTTGCCCAACCGATTCAAACCGTCTGAGAATAAGGACGTGTTTACTAACATACTTCATCCTGCGGGTCCAGTTTACAATCCTCTTCTGTGCTTCTGCCAGTTAGCTTTTACCCTTACTGTTTCAGCCCAAACTCTAATTATTCACTTCTGGGTTAGTAAAAACTTTCTTCTTAGATCTCAAACTCTAGCAAGAAAACAGAATAATCCTGCCTTACAGTTTGCCAGCTAATTCACTCCCATTATTCAGACTTAAAATCCTTGAGTATCTTCCTTCCTCATTCAACAAAAGATGGCTTTTACAAATATCAACCCAAAATGAGTAACACATCTCTCCCTTCACAACCCATGTAACTTTATCTTACAAACAGTAAACATTTCATTAACTGTTTATATAGTTTTTTTTTTATTAAGTTATTATCTACGTGACCTTTCACAGCCATTCACATGCAGTATTCTAGGTCTTCTATCATCAATTCCCAGAAGTTACAGCCTAGTAGGCAAGTCATTTTTGTGCAAGACCATGTGCAAATACACAATTAAAACTGTTTTCATTAAAATGATGGGTTAAATGCCACAGAGAGACTATCAGAAGAATTTAGATTACACAGCCATTCTTTTTAAGTTATTGTCAGTCATTTCTTATCAGATATTATTTCCATTTCATGACATGAATACAAGCTTAATGAGTAAGCAGAGAGAAAAAAATGCATCGAATAACTAGTGTCCTCCTTTTACCTTATTACACTTTTTCACTTTACCTAAAACAAAAAATAACTGATTTATTTTTAAAAGGTAGTTTTATTAAACTAAAAACTTACTGTCTTAAATGTAGACCATAGTGCAATCACAATTCATTCAAATAACCTGGGTAGACTGGCAAAAGGAAATGAATCCTTTTAAATAACTCCTAACACACCAGAAAGGATTCCAAGAGCACATGTTAGCATTTAGTCTAGAACTGAGGTCAGGATGAGAGCGAGCTGTAGAGTTGGCCCATGGCTCAGCTTTAGTATCTGACCGCACACTGCAGGGCAGTTTACATGCGGAAAAGGGACCCTAAAAATTTGCAGGATCTAATCTGACATAATATTGAATACATTTCTTTGAGGTAATTATAACCTTTTTTGGGTATCATTTTCTTGCCTGGCCACAATGCCCTCAAGCCAGAATCTTTCATGCAGGTTCTAGTACCTACACTGATCAGTCTTCCTTCTACAACTGTTTATCTGACACTGTTTATCTGACTTCCAACTGTATATACAGAGAAATATTTTATTAATGTTAGGAAAAAAAGAAAAAAAATTACCACCATGTTTTACAATTCATTCATTCAGAAAATATGGCCTAATGCTGCACTCACTATAAGACATGTAGTCAGGACTTAGGATGAAAGAATGTATGTTTTGATCCATACTCCAGGGCACCAATCTGGAGATACCATATGTCAGAAAACCTTCAACAACTTCCCAATCTCTCTCCACTTTTGTAGACAGAAGGTGTTTTTTTTTTTTTTTTTTATATTTATTCACCTTGTAGAAGCTGTTCTTCATATTTATGGATTATTTCTTCTCTCCTGCCTTCCTCCTAGGTGTAGCAGTGGTTAGGATGGTTTTGAATATTAAGTTGGTTTTGAATAGGTCTGTCCTAACCAACTAAGATAAAATAGGTTCTGGTAAATATCTGCTCTTCTTAGTCTTCTTCTACCACTACTGGAACAAAACAGACAAGTACATTTTATAGAAATTTACCTTTAAACCAACCCCCCACCCCCACCATCATTCACTCAATCCGACATTCAACTTGGTGGGTGCGACTATAAGATTTTGGATCTCAAATACAGTCTGTAGATACATGGAAACAAGGAAAAAAGTGAATGTTATTTCACTTTGTTGTCTTCCTTTCATCCCAGAGAATGGGTAAGAATTTGGCAGAAAGGTTTACCAGGTAGCTGTATTTCAAAATCCAACTTATAGTTATCTTCTCTTGTGGATTAAATAATTTATATAGGAATCAACTTTGACAGTATTCAAATATGAGAAAATAATGTGGATCTTCTATATGTATCTGTTGGTGACAACATTTTCCAGATGTAAACTCCCAGAGGCCAACTCCTAGAAGGTAAAGAGTTTATGATCTTTCATATACCTAGAGTTTAACTATGTCCATCATGTAAGAGTGAACTGGTAAATACTTCCTGAATGTATGAGTTTCTACAACAGTTCTCTACTCTAAAGCAGTTTATCACCATCTTATTCTTATGCCTGGATGATGTTAAAGGGGAATTAGTAAACAGACCCAGTCAGAGGTATACTCCCCATTCTTGACGGAAGCCTAAGAAAAAAGGACATCAGCATGAGCTAGCTCAATTCTCCAAATCTATCCAAAATGAATGAGAAAAAAAAGAAGAAACTGGAAGTCATACAATGACTAGTCATTTTAAGAGAGAGGTAGAGAAATTACTCAGAGATGGGAATCTATAAATAATGTAACATTTAGTTAGTCATGAAGATTCTGATCACCTTCTTAACAATGAGGAGAGGGGGGAAAAAGTTCTGGTTAACAATGAACTTGTTAACTTTTGAACTGGTTAACAATGAACTAATAAACCACCAGTATCTCCACAAGCATTATTTTTAATATTACTATTGCTGTGATAGTTTGTAGATCCCACAGACGTATCCTTGAGCCCTTAAATGCTATGTAACATGAGGTGAAGAGGGATGTCACTAGTAGTATACATCCAAATTTGCTCCTTTTGTATTCTAACTCTGGATATTCCTCACATAGCTGTTGGATCACTCTGAAACACTCTCCAATAACTTCTTGGGCCCACCCTTGGACTTTTACGACCCCTTGGGGTGGGTGATAGCTGAAACTAGTACTGGCTAGTTTATTTCAGAAATTCTTTTGAATTATAAGTTTATACTAAATAACCTTTATGAGCCATAGTTTCCTCCTCTATGAAATAGAAATTATAGTAATACTTAAATACTATATAGGGTACAACAGATTATTTATGATTGTGAAAAACTAATCAGATAACAAGTTCGGAAATCTTATGTAAAATAAAGCCTTTTTATTTGTCAAACTTGTAGAATATTTTTTTTTTAAAGCCCACAATAATAATGTTAGCTGTGCGATATCCATTCTTTGCCATTATTCTTTTATTTCTGTTTGGCTGTTTTTGCTGTTAGTGACCCAAATGATACACATAATGATTACTGGCCCCGGAGGAAGGAAAGTCAAATAAGCAGATTAATGACAAGGCAGTAAAACTAGATAAAAGGGGAAGGAATATAAGTAATGAAAATGAACCCTTGGGCTGTCCAGAAAAGGCCAGGAAACCAGGAGTATCACCCTGATGGATGGCCCAGAGTAAGTGGTCTGCTTCAATTAGGTTAAAGGACAGAGAGTTTCCAAAAAGTTCTTAAAATGTAAATGGTCCATAACAAACTGATACTCTTTTTAAATGAGTTGTAAATGGAAAGAACGTTGTTGAAAATTAAATTCTGCAGTCTGCTTTTTGCAAGTAATTCCCAATAAGACATGTATATAATTTTAAAAAATTATTCTGAATGCAGTAATCATTGATGCTACAAAATATTTTATTTTACCTTAAATTAAGGTACTTTTTTTTAAGGCCTTCTGGTTAAATGGCCAAACTAGAATGGATTTAGGAGTTAATTTATATAGTAAGGGGAAATCAAAACAGTATGAAAATCTAACAAAATTTTATTACAAGTGATCCTGTGCCCTAAATACAATTTATCTTGGAATAATCCTTTGTGACAACTGACTCTCTATTAAGGTGCCTCACAATTTTTCCCCCACAAGGTCTCAACTTCTTTTATTTTACCACTATTGTTAAAATCTTACACCATGCAGTTTCCTTTTTGCTTTCAAGAATGTAGATGATATTAAAGAGAATGTATAAAAGGCAAATGAGGTACCTAATATTAAGTATATAAAAGGTAGCATATTTAAGAGATGTGAAGGATCATTCACCATGATCAAGTGGGATTTATAGCTGGGATGCAAGGAATGGTTCGACATATGCAAATCAATCAACACGAGACATCACATAATAGAATGAAAAAATATGATTATCTCAATAAGTGTGGAAAAGGCATTACAAAATTCAATATCCATTTATGATTAAAAACTTGCAACAAAGTGGGTATAGAGGAAATGTATCTCAACATAATAAAGGCCATATATGACAAACCCATAGCCAATATCATACTCAATAGTGAAAAACTGAAAGTTTTTCCTGTAAGATCAGGAGTAAGATAAGGATGTCCATTTTTGCCATTTTTATTCAGAATAGTATTAGAAGTCCTGGCCAGAGCAATTATGAA